CGGCAGAAACCTATTATACCCCGTCCAAAGGCACCAATGGAGTCAGCATCGTCGCTCACAGTGACATTAGCATCGGAGGTGTTGGTCTTGTCAACTTTGATTCTGCCCGAGTCGAGGAAATCTGCACATCGGTGGGAAAAGGCGTCGTCTTGACAAACCAAGTCCAAGTGAGTCTTTCCATTCCATCCTCTGACATGTCCTCGTCTCGGTCATCAACCTTTCTCCTCTCGGGAGGCAGGACTGCGCACAGCCGGCACATGATGGACCAATATTATCGACTCCATTGTCGAGGCCTTTTCTGATCCGGTGTTTTCGAACTATTTCTGACCACGTGCTTTAACGTTCTAGTTTTCTCTCATTGACATTCGGCCACTTTACGGAATGGCCGACGTTTGCAAACGACATGGTGTCAAGCTATTGACCTACGGTACTCTGGTACGACCCAGCACTTACGGGAATTTCCATCCCGTCATGTTCTCTTTTCGCTAATGTCCATCCTCCCTACGCTTTCTCGTTTAGTGCGGCGGATTCCTTTCCGACAAATGGCTATATGCACCCGAGCCGAATCGATATAATGAAGAGCCGACAATGCACGACCCCTTGACACCGTCGCAGAAGAAGTACCTGGATGTCATCCTCTCAGCATGGGGAACCTGGGCGCTATTCCAACAACTGTTGATTGTTCTAAGAAGAATCGGCGACTATCATGGTGGTGTCAGCATTGCTAATGTGGCCACTCGATGGGTCCTAGATCACGACTTTGTCGGTGCCGTAATAATAGGTCAGTATCACGGCTGTTTGGACTCCTCTTTGATCCCCTTCCCACTGCAAAACCTTCAAATGAAGACCGAGTCTGCTTTGAAGACCCCTTTTCGCTTTTCGTTGTTTTGTTAAACCTACACACGCTCCATCCTCCACCCGAGGATCTATGCAGCTTATCTGACATGAATTCTTTGAATATGCGAGGAGGCAATTGACTAACGCCGTTTACCCACAGGCGCCCGGTTGGGAGTGAGTGACAATACAGATGATAACCGAGCTGTCTTTGGATGGCGTTTGACGAAGGAAGACCATGCCATGATCAACAGCGTTCTTCAAAAAAGTGAAGGCGCAGAGCTCATCAATACCATTGGGGATTGTGGAGCGGAATACAGATGATTGCGATGATACTGTATTCCATGCATGGCGCTACCACTGTACGAGATCGATGTCTCGCTACGATCCCTTTTCCCTTTCGTCTCCCCTTTTTTCTAACATATCATCCTACATCTTGACACGATACTGCACTACAAAGAAACACATGTTAATAGGCCCCAGCTGTCTGTGTTGAATGACCCACATTTCGTTCCAGGCTCTCTTCCAATCTTCCCTACCCGCACCATACTTGGTCCCTTATAACGACTATTTGCGACTTGCTTTCTCCATCTCTGTCTGCATACTTATCATAATACATACCAACATCGACTAGATATTTTTTAACCCTCTCAACCAAATCCAATCCACAACATTCTCCTAGTCTCTTTCCAAAGTCTCCTTGTTCATATCGTGTATCAAATCGCTCGCCCCACCGACTGATCTTGGTTTGCTTGTTATCATAGAGCTATGTCGTCCTTCCAGATTTCTGCATTAAGACATGAAATCAACATCCATTTATTATTATCCTTAACCGCTCAGCGAAAGCTCTGGACCTGATTATGAACGTTGTTGCTGGTTCTGATTAACTCCGCGCCGTCCGCGTTACCTAGTCTAGCGCCAGGAAATAGGACAATAACCGATATTAATCAGCTCTGAATAGATTTCTTACCGATACGGCCAGGTTCGCTCTCAAATCTTGTCTGTCTGACAGACCCCATCTGCCACACCCATCGAGTACCTGTGGCCTGGACTAGCTATCGACGCTCAGAGGCGTCCGTTATAAACGGGAATTACAGAGCAACACTTGGAAAATGTTTCCTGATTTGGCGGAAAATGACGCACTAATTCAAAACGCGTGCGACTCTGGTTCCGGATATGGAAAATCTCCTGGTCGAAGTCTCGAATGTAGCAACCTGGTTGGCTTGCAGCATCTCAAATGAGCCGCTGTAATTACCTTCGATTACGGATTAGGTTGACAAGCTCACACCGCGATCGGGGTTCACTGTCCTATAAATCCTAAAGGATCTGGTACTTCCACCTCGCCCCCTACTTTTACCCAACTCTCCCAAAACCCGTCGAAGCTCGCCACAATGACCGTACCAAAGATCGCTGTCATCTACTACTCTCTCTACGGGTAAGCTAGAATCTATGATATGGTACGAACTGGTCTGACCATGTTTCCCCATCACGACCATTAGCCACGTCGCCAAGCTGGCCAATACAGCCGCAGAGGGCGTCAAAGCTAAAGGTGGAGAAGCAACTATCTACCAATTGTGAGTCGATTGTCAACCAACTACCCATTGGGTCCTAGACCTTGGGAAATGCGATGCCGAGATGGATTGGCTGACCATCTGATGCTCCCCTCGATAGCCAGGAAACCCTCTCCGATGAGGTGCTCGCTAAAATGTCTGCTGCTCCAAAAGAAAATCACCCCGTTATTACTCCTAACGACCTCAAGTACGTTTTCTAGATAATTTTCTCTCTGTTTGGAGATCGACCTGGGCGTAATGACTGACGGCATCTATTACTTTGATCTCCTGTTAGGCAATACGACGGCTTCATCTTCTGCAGTAAGTAGACCTTCTAACTGAATATCTAACCAAAAGATGTATCCTGATGCCTATTCCCTCCCCTCCCCACAGTCCCTACACGTTATGGTCGTGCCGTCGCTCAGGTAAGAGCACCCAAATTGATGCCAATCATCTGGCAGTCTGGTCTGACAAGTACCACAGGTTTCTGCATTCTTCGATATGACTGGTGGTTTATGGGCGTCCCAAGCACTCAATGGCAAGATGGCGACTATCATTGTATCCACTGGAACTCAGCACGGTGAGAAAAATAGTATACCATGCATCGAAAAATACTAATTGGTTTCT